TGGGAAACTGAAAATTTCAGTTGACTCACTTTGCCACTCTGTTTGCTTTACTGTGGTGGTCTGGGACGAAACTGCAGTATCTCTGAGGTGTGACTGTACTGTTTTTTGTCGTCGTCGTCATCGTCTTTCATTGTTAGTAAAAGCATTTAATAAAGAGGCAGAGTTCTCTTCACTGGAGAGTAGGAAACCGTAGCATTAAAATGAGGAAAAAGTGGAGTTTTTTTCATATAGAATAGCTTTTTTGTGCAATACTTTGACATTTTTTATTTGTTTTCTTTTTTAAAAACTAAGTAAAATTTAATTCACAAGTTAGTTAGCATATAGTGCCATAATGATTTCAGAAGTAGATTCCTTAATGCCCCTCACCCATTTAGGGCCCCCATCCTCCCCCAGTGATAGTGATGAGGTTGGGTGTCCTTGTTATATTCTTCCTGATTTTAACTGGAAAGTGTTCAGCTTTTCACCACTAGAAGTTGTAGGTTTTATAGGCACTGTCTCTCAGGTTGAGGGAGTTTCCTTCTATTCCTGGTTTGCTGAGGGTTTGAGTGGGCTCATCAGGGAAGCAGAATCATTAGAAGACACACACACACAAAGGTGTGTTACTGGTGTTTGGTCTGAATATCACTGTGAGGACTCCTAAATTGTCTTTGTAAAGTTAGTTTCTTAATGTCTGATACTGAGGCTTGACCTGCTTTGGACCATTGGGAAGGGAAGATGGCGGTAAATTGCGGGTAGGAAGGACAAACTTGAACCCATGAAGACCGAGGATCTATGTTAGTTCTCACTGTCTCCAAACTTATTGATGTCCTCCAGGGATGTTCTGTGGGGTGTTCTTTAGGGAAGTCCGGCACCTTTGGTCATGGCCTAAAACATACAGCGTCCTCGGTGTATGAAGAAGCTAGGGGTGGACCCATGGGAAGGCGAGCCGCTCGTAGGCCTAGTTGCCGTTCCTTCCAAGAAGGTCAGCGCGTGTAAGCAGCCTTCTGTGCGACGTCAGGATGGCTGTAATTGTACTTCCGTCCACAGTCCTGTGCAGAAATGGCTGGTGATTCATCCTAAGAAGAAACCTACAGGAAGGGATTCTGGGAATGTAGTTAAGTGTGAGTTGACACATTTCAGGGCCACCACACTTACTGTTGATTATTTATCAGATGGGAGGGGGTTTCCTGCCTTTCCCTGAAGGATAGGCGGTGTCTGCTTTTATCCCTTTCTCAGGACAGTTGCCTTTGCCCGATATGGTGGTGAGGGTTTGCTGCCTCTCTCATGGGTAGTAGACATTTGCTGAGGCCGTTTTTAGCTCAGCTTTCTACAGTGACTTTCGGCATTTGTTTCCCCTGAGAGAATGGCTTGAAACGTGAGTGGGGTTTCATGCCTGTGTCCTGCCAGACAGGGACTCTTTCTGGTCTCCTGCCCTGTTTCCAGTGTTTCCTGCAAGTTTGTGGCGGAAGCTAACAGAAAAGAGCTGGGGGCCGACTGAGGACTCTGCCGTGTCTGGGACCCGTCTTGTTAGCCAGCAGCTGGCCGTTCAGCATTCGCTTGCACGTCACACAGTTCTCCTTCCACATCTGATGGCAGCTCTCTCTTTGTCCTGTGCTCTGTCAAAGCTGAACCCATTCTGTGTCCTGTCTCCCCCAAAGGAATTTTGTCACCCTTTGATTTTCAGTTCACCTGTTCATCTGGTAAGATGCCATGGGAACCAAAGACGAAGATTATTTCAAGAAGATGGCAGTCAGCTGTGACAGATAATGCTCTGGGGTCGTGAGAAGTGTGTCTTAGAAGGGCCCACTGGGCTTGCTGATACAGTATGATTTCTACGGACAAAATCAGTGGAGAGGAGGCGGCAACAGGGACGGTGCGGGGTAACGAGGACCTGACTGAGCGAGGGAAGGCGGTGCATGGAGGTGACGGGAAGGTTTGGCATTAGAGACAAAGTAGATCGAAGGGACAGTAGAGTGAAGTAATGTGAAAAATGCTGTGAAAGTGCTTTTCTGTCTCTGCTGTTCAGTATCACCAGCCTTATTCTCTTTCCTTAATCAGCTGAACTTACCTCAGCTCCCAAATGAGGTCAGTTTTTAAAAATCATTTTTCTCTCTTCAGGCAATATTCACTTCTAACAGTCCCCCCTGTATATGGGGAGAGGGCTCAAGTGTAAAGCATATCAGGCAGATCCCCAAGTTTTAAGCATGCTGACTAATTTACTCCTGACAATAAATGTGTTCCCATCAAATGTAAAACTTACACAAATGTAATGTAAACTCAGGCTCTGAGAAGTTACATTTACGCATAGTATGTTCCAAATTAGGTATTTAACCTGGTCGAACACTTCTTATCTCCACACGTGTTATCACTAGCATCGCCTTACCCTGGTCTGCTCAGGGAGACAGGTATGTGAGGGGTAAGTTACAGAACCATTCAACATGAGCAATAACTCTTATAAAAAGACCAGTAGCTGTATATTTATTGTCGTTGAAAGATGTTCACCCCACAGAAGACACATTATAGAACAGAGTGAAAATTATGATCCCATTGACTTATTCACTGATTCAGCAAATGTATACTAAATGCCCATTTTGTCCTCAGCACTGTTCTAGCCACTTACGACACTTGGGTGAACAAAAGAGTGTTTCTCCTTTTATTGAGCTTGTGGTCTATTAACATAGAACAGAATGTCAAGGCAGTGATGGAATTACGAGAGGCAGCATGGGTTGCAAGAAAGACATGAGTAGGAAGCCCTAGCAGTAGGTAAATTCATCCGTAACAAGTGTGTGATTGTTGGGAGACCGTTCTCCATGCCCCTTGCACTTCTGCACATTTGTGAGCAGAGGCACTGGCTGCTTTGTTCTGGACTATCTTTTCAATAATGTATACACAGGCACCAGTTATTGTATCTTTCTCTGGAGCAGAGGGCAGATTTATTTATTGTCCATTATAATAAAGATAATGTCACTCTGCGAAAAAGGTCAGACAGGTTTGCTTGATATTTTATAAGATGTGGGTTTCTTCAGTTCAGGATTCCCCAGTTCTGATTCAAACCCCCAGCATGTCCAGTATTTACCTGGACTGCTCCGCATTGCCCTGTGGGAATTGGGGGACAAGGAGCCTCTGTGAACCTGAAGCTGACATCGATTAGGTAGAAAAATCCTTTGCTTCTGACTTAGGAGTCTCGCGTCTTCTGCCAACATTCATGAGATGGTGGCAGGTACTTGTTAGCTCGCAGGTCGTCTAGACTTCACAGTTCTTGACGACAGGTATGAGTTTACTTTTATTTTAATTCGAGGGGCCTCAGGTTTTTAACCTTACAGTTTTTATTTTAGGGTGTCTGTCAGTTCCTATTTTTTGGTCGTGCATTTAATTACTGAGAGGATAGAGTTTATATTAGTTGGTTCTGGAAGCATATTTAATGAGGCATGTGAAGAATACAGTGATTTTGATCTCCACAGTCGCATAGGAATAGTTCAGGTGCTATTTGACTGTCATGTCTCAGTGCATGTTTTTATGTGCAGGTTTCATGTGAAGGTTCTTAGAAGAGCTCAGCTTTTCTTCTGCCATCATTTTCACTAGACAGAGATGGCTGGAGCTGTGTTTTCAAACCCAGATTTTAAAAATTTGCAAGAAAATTTTTTGGTTCTTCTTCTTCCTTCTCCTCCTCCTCTCCCAACCCCTCCTCCCCATCCTCCTCCATGTATTTTAATGAATTTTAATTGCTGTCATATTGTTAATATGATCTTAGCCCTTAATTATAACTCAGGAGGATTGCCAAGCCTGCTGTTGGCCGAAGGAGCGATATTTTTTTGTAATGTTACCTGTTTGCTACAGTTAGCGTCATTTTAAAACAAAGTCAGATTTGAAAAGTTAATTATATAAAGTACAACCAATTCATGAAAATACTGAATTTCTGTAAGTTGTTTTATTCTAGTGTTTAGAACCGTGGAACATTCCCCCCATGTAAAAAAAGAAGAAAAGAAAAAAATTCTCTAACCTACATGTTCATCCTTTACCTGGCCATCTTACCAGTTATAACCAAGCACAAAGAAAGAAAGTAGTTCGGTCTCAAGAAGATCTTAATAATTACATTGAATGGCAACAAAATGTAATAGAGAAATCTGTCCCTGGTGACAGTGTACAGAGAGCATAGTCAAATTTAATTTTATTTGAGATCTCATCAGCCTGATTACTTAGCTAATTATCGTTCTTTGTCATATATTCAGCTTCTTTTCATTAGAGCTTCTGAATAAACATGAAGCTTTTTGGTCTTTCTTTGATACAGATGATTCATTTTTTAAAGGGAAACATTTCTCTTTTTCAAAGGGATTTGTTCTATTTTTGTGGTATTAAAATTGTTCTGCTATTGATGGACATTTAGGCTGATTTTATTTTATTTTTTGCTGCTACGTTTCATCGTAAAATGAACTTTAAAATATTCTAACATTTCTGAAATTGAGATGTGTTTAAAAATAGGTAGCATCTATCAAAACACTGTTTGCCAACCTTTTTAAGGTTCAAAATCCTATCCCCCACCTCTATTCCTTACCCCCTTTCTCTGCTTTATATTTTTATACGACACTTTCATCAGATGATGTGTTCTGTATTGTTTTTCAATAAGCTCGTTAGAGTGCGGGCATCTGTTGCTTTTTGATCTCACCTCTACTCCTTGCTCCTAGAGCACCACGTGGAATGGAATGAGGACTCAATATATTGGTTGAATGAACGGTTGAATGAAGGGAATATGTGAATGATTACTGTGGTCCAGCCTCTGTGCTGAGGCCTTCCAATCTTTGATCCGCTTCATCCTTGCAGTAACTACATCAGGTGGGCAGGAACTACGGAATGAGGAAATGAGGGCTGTGGAGGAGATTAATTTCCCCAGTATCACTCAGCTTGTAAGTGGGAGTTGAAGTTAAGAGCTGCCTCTTGCTGTATCCGGGGCTCTTAACTTCTTTGTTACAGTTGTTTCAACAAAAATGACTTTTGACTTATTTAGTTTTTTTCTTTTTAAATAGGAAGAAGAGAATTTATCCAAAGACTGAAACTTGAAGCAACCCTGAATGTGCATGATGGCTGTGTAAGTAGTAATTCTCAACTATGAAGGACTTTGATACTAAGTGCTCAATATTTGATGAAATGCCCCATCTTCTTTGAAGAGATTATGAGTAACTATAATAAAATGGGAGAATAAAGCTTGACATTAAAACATAAAGAAATATATTTTGAATTTAGAAAAGTATGTGGGAGGTTTTTCAAAGCACAGGTGAGTTTTCTACTATCGCAAGACTTCCGTCTCTCACTCGAGGGTACTGCTCTTGTGACGGCCGCTAGTGATTACTAGTCGTTACTTCTCTGGAAATTTAGACATTAATTGAACACATATTCTTTTTCAAAATATTTTTTCTCTTGGTTTCTGCTGACACCACACTTGGTTCTCTCTGTGACTCCTTGACTTGCTATGTCTTCTCCGCGCAGCTGTGACTCCTCCACTCCCTGACCTTTAGTTGTTGAGGCACTGGGGTCCCTCCCGCCCCTTTCTCCTCACTTTGCTGAGACGCGCTGTCCAGCCCCCCGGCTAAGACACGTGACTTCCCTCTCTGTTTCTTCCCCAAGCCCCAGGTTCCCACAGCCAGCTCTCCTTAACATTCCTAGTTGTGTGTCTGATAGGCATGCCAGATTTACCAGGGCCAGAACAGAGTCCTTTTCCTTTTAGTTTCTGTACTGAAAATTTCAGACAATGCTTTTCATATACTTATCAGGTGGATCTAGCAGTGATCAGGATTGGGACATATTTGGGGTGCTGGGGGCTCAGTCGGTTAAACGTCTGATTTCGGCTCAGGTCATAATCTCACGGTTCGTGGGTTCGAGCCCCGCGTAGGGCTCTGTGCTGACTGCTTTGGAGCCTGGAGTCTGCTTTGGATTCTGTGTCTCCCTTCTGTCTGCTCCTCCCATGCTCAGTCCTTCTCTGTGTCTCTTTAAAAAATAAACGTTAAAAAAAATTTTTTTTTAAGATTGAGACATATTTTCCATTTCATTTTTCTTTTTGTTTTTTGATGAAGTACTTTAAAGCAAATCCCAGATATTGTGTCATTTCACTCCTGTATGTAGCCAAAAAGCAATGGACATTTTCATATGTAACCAAAATGCTATTATGTAATTTAACAAGATTGACAGTATATCCTTGGTATCTGATATACAGTCCATAATCAAATTTCCCTGTTATTTAGAATGTCTTTTTATAGTTGTTTGTTCCAGAGAGAATCCAGGCAAAGTCCATTCCTCAATTGCTGTGCCTCTTTTTTTTTTCTAGTTTTTATTTAAATTCTAGTTAACATACAGTATAATATTAGTTTCAGGAATAGAATTTAGTGATTAGTTACTTACATGTAACACCCAGTGCTCATCACAAGTGATGCCTCCTAAATCACTATTAAACTAGAGCAGGCTTCCCCTTCTTTGTTCCTGCCAGTGACTTGTTACAGAATGTAAGTCAGTTTTCCTACGGACTGGCACACGTTCCAGATACTGGTTTGGTTTCTTGTGGTGTCATTTAACTTGTTTTTATATTCTTTGTATTTCCTGTCCACAATTATGGAATTATAATTATGCTGTAAATATAGTTCAGGTATGTATTTATTTTAAAACTAAATACCATTTTTGGAGGGAGCAGGACAAAATAATATATGCGCATGATTCAGAATGGATCATAACAAAAAGTAACAGATGCGTCTCACTTTCTCTTATTTATTCCTTTCTTCTCCAAAACCAAACTCTTTGAATTGTTTTTCATTTCAGATCTTCTGATGATTTCTTTTGTATCTTTGTGTAATATTCTTATATTGATCTTTTTTAAATTGGCAACTTCAAACATCATCTGTTGAGTTCCTGCTATGATAGAGGAGAATTTATTTATACAACTCTCACTTTCTAAGATGTAGGCTTCTTGGAATTTTTATATTACTGGTTTTAGTCTCTGCACGAAACAACATACATAAACACCCTTTTGTTTTGCTGTCATTTATAGACAATATCTCTTCAGTCTTCATTCTGTAAGATACAGACATTTAATTCTTTCATCCTTTCCTCCACCTTTTTGTTTGAGTTTTTATTTTTAAGTAATCTCTATACCCACAACCCCGAGATCAAGAGTTGCATGGTCTGTGGACTGAGCCAGCCAGGCACACCTTTCTCTCCACCTTTTTATCTCTGTTTCACACCTCTGCCAGCTTGTATGCTTTTCTATTGTCAATATTGGTTACATGTGCCCTTTATTCCGTAGTCCTGGCTCTCTCTTAGTATTTGTCTGTGTATTCTAAAAGTCAAAGTGGGGTAAACAGTGCTAGTAAGGCTTATATGTATATGTACTTTTTTTTTTTATATTTTTATTTATTTCTAGGAGAGAGAGAGAGACAGCGTGAGCAGGGGAGGGTGAGAGAGAGAGGGAGACACAGACTCCGAATTAGGCTCCAGGCTCTGAGCTATCAGTCAGCACAGAGCCCGACGCGGGGCTTGAACCCATGAACCGCAAGATCATGACCTAAGCGAAAGTCGGACGCTTAACCGACTAAGCCACCCAGGCGCCCCTATATATATATGTACTTTTCTTAGTTTTTGTTAAATCCTTCAAAATAAGGAGAGGTTGGAAAAGAAAATTTATAAAGAAAATTATGTGATACATCATCTGTTCATAATACTCAACTGCTGGAAACTGGCCGGTGGATTTCCAGCTTGCTTCTGGCTGTCCTGCGGCCTGTATCTTCCAGGGCCTCTGACTGGGCGCTCGCGGCGTTCTCCAGTTTCTTCCCTTACTATGGGCTCTGTTAAGCATGTTTGTTCCAGTCACACTCCTCTCTTTGCTGCTCCTCAAATATACCAAGTACACCTCTGCCTAGTATATTTTATGCCTTCTACTCAGAACTCCCATACCCCGTATAACTGTAAAGCTCACCTCCTCATTTCATTTAGCTCTAAGTATTACCTGTCAGAGAAGCTCTTCTTGACCACCATCCTGATCAGCACCTTACTTTCTTTTGTTTTCTTTTCCTTCACAGTGCATTTCACTGTCTGACATTATATTATACAACCACATTTATTTATTTGTTGATAGTCTATACACCTGCCCTCCCACCTCCCTCCCCCAGAACACTAGACCAAAAAAAAACTACCTTTGGGAATTTATTTACTTCATCTAGTGTCAGGAGGAGGGTCTAGCACATACATGGCATTTATGATTGAAGAGGCAAACACAACCTCTCCAGCACTCTTTGTTTATTCTCTATATTTAAGAGTATCTCAGGTTTTGTCCCTTTTGCTGTTTTTATATTATTTTTGCTTCCCTTCCCTTATATTCAACTGTTTTGTATCTTAAATTCCTCATATAAGTGAAGTCATATGATATTTGTCTTTCTCTGACTAATTTTGTTTAGCTTAGTACCATCTAGTTCCGTTCACATAGTTTCAAATGGCAAGATTTCATTCTTTTGATTGCTGAGTAATACCCCATCGTATATGTATACCACATCTTCTTTGCCCACATTCATCCATCGATGGACATTTGGGCTCTTTCCATACTTGGGCTATTGTTGATAGCGCTGCTATAAACGTTGGGGTGCATGTGCCCCTTCGAAACAGCACACCTGTATCCCTTGGATAAATATCTACTAGTGCAATTGTTGGATCATAGAAGAGTTCAATTTTTAATTTTTTGAAGCACCTCCATACTGTTTTCCAGAGTGGCTGCCCCAGTGTGCATTCCCACCAGCAGTGCAAAAGAGTTCCTCTTTCTCCACATCCTCACCAGCATCTGTTGTTGCCTAAGTTGTTAATTTTAGCCATTCTGACAGGTGTGAGGTGGTATCTCATTGTGGTTTTGAGTTGTATTTTTCTGATGATGAGTGATGTTGAGTACTTTTTCATGTGTCTGTTAGCCAGCTGGATGGGTTGTTGTTGTTGTTGTTTTGAGAAGTGTCTATTCATGTCTTCTGCCCATTTCTTCACTGGATTATTTGTTTTTTGGGTGTTGAGTTTCATAAATTCTTTCTAGATTTTGGATACTAACCAACCCTTTATCTGATACGTCATTTGCAAATATCTTCTCCCATCCCATTGGTTGCCTTTTATTTTTGCTGATTGTTTCCCTCGCTGTGCACAAGCTTTTTATTTTGATGAGGTCCCAATAGTTCATTTTTGCCTTTGTTTCCCTTGCCTTTGGAGATGTGTTGAGTAAGAAGTTGCTGCAGCTAAGGTCAGAGAGGTTTTTGCCTGCTTTCTCCTCTAGGATTTTGATGGCTTCCTGTTTTACTTTTAGGTCCTTCATCCATTTTGAGTTTATTTTTGTGTAAGGTTTAAGAAAGTGGTCCCCGTTCATTTTTCTGCATGTCACCGTCTGGTTTTCCCAGCACCGTTTGCTGAAGAGACTCTATTCCATTGGATACTCTTTGCTGCTTTGTCACAGATTAGTTGGATGTATGTTTGTGGGTCCATTTCTGGGTTCTCTATTCTGTTCCATTGATCTGAGTGTCTGTGATTGTACCAGATATTGTTATTATTTTTATCTTGCATTTCATTTTTAAAATAGATAACACTTTTTCATGGTATAAAAATAAATTATTTTAAAAAGCAAGTAAAAAGTGGCTCCCACTCTTGTTTCTCTCTGCTCCACTCCTTTTTGCTCCCTAATACGTGTAACCATTTGTTTTAGTTTTTTGGATATCTTTTTTTTTCTTTTTCTTTTTTTTGTTTTTTGGATATCTTTCTACTTTTTCCAAGCTTGAGATATAATTTGCTTTTAGCATTGTGTACAGTATGATGATTTGATACAAATACATACTGTGAGGTGATTTCCATAGTAAATCGCCTCATGTAATTACTGTCGTTTGGTGGTTGTAGTAAGAACATTTAAGAACATACTTTATTAGCATTTTTCAAGTATACAGTGTAGTATTGTTACCTATAGCCACCAGCCATGCTGTACATTAGAGCCCCAGAATCACTCATTTTGCATGTTAGATGTATAGTAAGTTAGATGTATAGATGTATAGTAATGTATAGATCCCCATTAGATCTGTACGTTAGATC